TTAAGCTTGAAAACCACATCCTGGTTGGCACAGGTGAAAAAAGTTTTTGCAGGGGCAGAAAGCCAAACCTATCGGTTTCAGCAAGCAGGTGTTGCAAAGTTCAGAACGTTCTCAGAAGCATATATTTTTTCAAACTAAAATAACAATCAAGCACAGTTTCTCTTTCTTGGGCCAAACTGACATTTTTCCCTCCACCCAGTAGTCTAGTAATTTTTCATCCATTTTATGTGGTCACCACAACATGGAAGAAAGAGCGACTACTTTGGACCGAAAGCCCACGGCCAAGGCATCTGGGCAGGCAGAACCCAGGCTGTAGCTGAGGCCCAGCTGGTCCAGATCTGGGTGCGCAGGCCAGCAGGTTCAGTCCGTTGGCCTGGCCCGGCCCTGTGCTGCCATCACTGCCTGGTGCTGGGGCAGCAGAACAGGCTTCTAAAGGTTGTCTCTGACTCAGATGTCCAAACACCCAACAGTAGCAACATGAAATCCCATGGTGTTAGGCTGTAGACATCTGTGCCGTCGAGCTTGTCGAGCATACTCTCCAGGATTTCTACACTAGCCTCATTGTTGAGGACAGCTTTTTGTTGAAACTTTAAGAGCAGAATTATCTAATTTGTAGTAGAGAAAAGAATTTTTTAATAATTTTACACAGATTAGTGTAAATGATGGTTTAAATTGATCAAGAGGCACTGAAAACCTAGAGTTTCCTTCCAATGAGGACAGAGCCTTTGTCTTGCTCCTCTGTTTGCTCTCAGGGGAGGAGGATGACTGGAAAGTCATTTCCGTCAGTGCAAGCTGTGACTGCAGTGGCCAATGTCTTTGGTACTACACGTCCCTCCTCCTCAAATCAATTTCCTAGAGGAGACCAAACATCTTGGGAGCCTGAAGGAAGGTCTTGAGCTGGAAATGTGGAACCTGCTTTCGCTCATGGCTTGAGCCTTTCATAGAGATGTGACTTTAGGTAGATGGCTTACTCTCGCACAAAAGTGATTCCTCATCTGCTTCCTATGGCTGACCTGCCTGCCTATGCTGTTTTCGTTCTTTTGTAATGCAGAGTATTAAAGGCAGTGAGAACAGAGAATCAAAGACATTTTGAGAGTGTTTGTTTCAACAAAAAATGAGAAAAACAACTTTGGTGGGGTAAAAAAAAACTGCAGTTATCTGCCAAGATGTTCCATTACTGACCATCTCTCTCCACTCGTATTTCCACTTCCACTGAGGTGCTGTTCAAAATGTTCATGTTTTATGGAGATTTCTGTCTGAACTGAGTTCAGGGGTTAAAAAAAAAAAGTGGACTATACCCAGGCAGATATTAGAGGAGGACGTTTGGGAGGACACCCACGAAGCAGAGGCCAACAGGAACTGTTTAGATTGAGAGGAGAGAGGGAGGGAAATATGAAAAAGTAGGAAGCAGAAAAATATCAGAAAAGAGAGAGATGGAGAGCATAGACATATTCTCTACAAAGAAACATGATATATTGGGATGGAATCTTGGTCACCAAAGATTTCACTTGACCTTTGAAAGAACACACAATGCGATCTGTTCACAGCAGGGCAAAATGAAGCCGTCTTGGCAAACTCCTCCTTCAGTGGCATAAGAAGAAAACTGAGGCTAGCAAAGGGCTTCCCTTAGAAAATGCATCTTGTCAGAAATGTCAGGTTTCGCTGGATTTTTTTTTTCCTACTGCTTCTTTCAACACAGACAGTACTTGTTGGTTTTGAATGGGAACATTTTAGAAATATGTTTTATATATGATTGTTCCCACACGTATACTCAAAAAGTTGTCAGGCCAGGAAAAACAGTTTTCACCCTTCTTTTTCACATTGATTTGTAAACTCAATAAATCTTTTCAAAAATGACCTGATTCGCCCCTTGTGCAGGAGAAGAACCACTACTTGTGAGTGCTCAGAAAGTTTCCCTTGAAAGCTATGTGGTGGCTGATTGATTGTGTCAATAGGAGTTTAGAAGCTTAACTAAATCTGCTCGCCATTCTACACCCTAGGGTGGCTCATCTGCATGGTATAAAGGGGAAATGAAGGACTAATCTGCCTCTGTTCTCTGGAGGAGCTCCAGTAGTCACCTCTGAGATTCGAGAATAGACTCTGTCTTCTGCCTCTGAAACTTCAGCCATGGTAAGTCAGTCTTATGCGTTTTTATACATTTACGTGTCTTGTGTTATATCACAAGCGGATGTCCAGCTTGTGCAAGTTAGTGAGACCCTATCTCACTAACTTCTTAAAAAAGAAGAAATTAAAAATAAGAGAGCTAGGGATAAAGGTTGCTGGTACAGTGCCACTGGCTTTAATAGCCACTACTGCAAAACCAAACATAGAAAAAAAATGGTAAGTGGAAAATACTATCTAATGATAGCACTAAGGAAATATATATGAACCTCAAAACAACCCCAATAGAGCAATCAGCAAACAATAAGCAAAGCTTCATTTTCATTGTAATTCTAATAGTGATGGAAGTTTTAGGCTTTTGGAGTGACATATATTTCCAATTGTTGAATACGATTATTTAGTAGATTGTAAGGAGGAATAAAACTTTCATGATCTTCTTTCAGTGTTTTATTCCCCTGCATATTATGTATCAATACCAAATGTAAAATCTCAAGCGATGAACATCCATTTTTTTGTGGGTGACAGTCAAGACAAAGGTGAATGAACACACTCGTTTTGAACTACATGTTCTGTGGTTTTGTGGTTTTCTTTTCCTTGTTCTTTCTTTCTTTCTTTTTTTCTCTCTCTTTCTTTCTTTCTTTCCTTCCTTCCTTCTTGTTCATTTGTTTGTTTGTCTTTGAGATGGGGTCTTCCTAGATAGCCCAGGCTAGCCTCCAAAATCTGGGCTGAAGCAGTTCTGCCTCCGGCTCCTGAGTGTTGGAATATTGACACACCACCATGCCCACATTTGAATCAGATGTTTTTGCATGTTACCATTCATGTCTAGACGACCCCCAAAGCCTCATGTACTTCTAGATGCACGAGGAGGCTTTTTAGAGGTAGCTAAACCTAGAGTGTGTGACTGCTTCCTAGTGCAATGCTGGGATTAAGGTTGCTGGGATTAAGGGTGTGACTGCTACAACTGCTCTAGGCCAAGTAGCCTGCATGCAGCATAAGAGACAGAAAGAGGCTTGTCCTCTGTTGCTTTCTTGTTGCTGTTGCTGTCTTTTGCCACCATGAACTGGTGCCTTTCTGCCATGTCCCATCCTGCCTTGAGGCCAGCTGATTACAAATTGTGAGATAAATAAAGCTTTCCTCCTTTTAACTTTGGGTGTCAGGTATTTTTCTCAGCAGTGACAGAAAAGTAATTAAAATATTTCAATGCATAAAGTATGGCTACCGACATGTCCGTGTTTATTGCCATTTTAGAATTGCACATACTTTTCACTGAAATTTTTTTTCTACCTAAAGGTACTCCAGATAACTGCATCAAAAATCACTGTCCAGTGTAGCTTATGGAGTTTTTAGCTTATTGAGTTCCCTACCACAGAGTAAATCATGTTTACTTTCCTGAAGCTTTCCCTTCAAAGCTCTTCATTTCTTCCTAAATTCACTACACTTTCACACTCACTAAACAGCTGCTAAATGAAACTTGCTTTGATGCGTGTACCTCACTTTTCATTATTATCTGCATGCGCCTCTCCGTTCTGTGATGCTGTAAGTTCTTCGTTTTATTTTCTACATTTCCAGCACCTCTTTGACCTCCATCTATGCAAATCATATGTAATATGTCCCTTTTACTCATTGGTGAACTGTCACTGTGCTAATTTGGATGACCATTTTGTACATGAGTAACTTGTAGATCAGAAAGTTTAGAGAAAGTTTGTTTTCCCAAAATCAATTCTTTGTTTTTTGTTTGTTTGTCTGTTTTGGTTTGGTTTTTTGAGACAGAGTCTCACTGTGGAGTTTACTCAGTCCTTGAACTTAATATGTAGTACAGGCTGGCTCAAACTCATAGTGATTCTCCTGCCTCAGGTTCCCAGTTGTTGGGATTATAGGCGTGCATCACCACACCCAACCTCCTACAATTACTTTTTGAGAAACCAACTCTCAGGTAGTCAGTGACTTAGGATCAGAGGCTGGCTTGAAGAAGGGAAAGGATGACCTTTGCAATTTACCAACCATCCTGGTTATAAATGACCCCTGGGAGACAGGGATGGTCCTGTACCTGCAAAAGGAGCCATCTAAGATAACAATGGCAAGAGCCATACTGTCTCCTACCAAGTGAGGAACAAAATCGCCTAGGTGCAGTTTCTATCCTCTTGGTTTTGGACTGTGCTCAGCACACAAAGTCCTGACGGGGGAGTCAGGCTCTGTGACCTGCTCCCAATAATCATTGGTGGGGGAACTTGAACAGTCCATGGGGCCCCTTTCATGTCAATGTCCTCCCTCATAACTGATAAGGCTACAAGTTCCCTAAGGATCTCCTTGAGCTGAAAGGTTTCAGATGCCCAACCCTGGGTCATGAGTCAGCGTGCTTGCAGGCTCAAGAGCAGCAGGGAGGGAGAAGGCTGCTGCATGTACGAAGGAGACCCCTTGGGTCTTTGGTGAGCCAGGTGGGAGACAGGTAGTTCACGAGAAGAATTTCAAACCAGCCCAGAGCTTAAAAGCTACCTGACAGTACTTGATTATTAGCACCTCCCCAAATGTTGGTATCACAGGCTTCCTGATTAAAAAGACCTTAGGATAGACAATCCTGGTGCTGAAATACAACAAAAATCTGTCGGTGTCACCTATGTTTTCATGGCCTCTTGCTTCTCTCAGGAAATGTCTTCATTGTGTCGTCTTTTGGAACTTCCAGTTCTTGGCAGCTTTCATTTCCCCTGGAGAGCAAAACTGCTCCCTCAGCAGGCAGCGCCTGCCACTTCTCTACAGTGTCCGCTCCAGCCATTGGTTCAGCCTGGCTCTGCCCTCATCTTCTGTCACCTAGTTCCACCCAGGTAGGGCTAATTCCAGCACTATAGCACAAGTAGGTTTGGGGGGTTACTGAGCAGACCCAGATGTCCACTTTGTCTGCCTCCTATCCAAGCGCTTCCCAGGGGAATCTGACCAGAAATAGAGAAAGCAGGTCTTCCTCACTTGAAGCCTTCACAGGGACACAGGACTTTCAGAGCCATGATAGCTCATCCCCATGCCATGACCCCATAGCCATCCACCAGCCTGATTCAGAGGATACCACTACTGCACATTCCAAATCAGGTACACAGACTGCACCTTGCCTACCAACAAGGAAGCCAGGTTTTCTACAATAATCAGGGTGCAGATGGGCCTCTGCCATATGGGCAACTTGGCCTCTGCATGAAACCCTTTGACTGTGCATGTTATAGAGGGTAACAGAGCTTCTGCCCCTCAACCAGAAATAGCAGTTGTGCTAAAGGAGACTGGGCACACAAATGTCACAACACCGGTCTCTCCTTCTGCAATCTACTACTCAGGGACTGCTCAAACCAGCATGAAAAAAAGTTTCCACAGTGGGTACCTAGAACAGAAAGGGAAAGGAGTCAGGTTAGCATTCTGAAGGGGGTAGAATCTGCGGCTGGGTAGTGATGAATAGATAGCTCTGTAGCATTTCAGTTCTGAGGCTTCACTCCCTACTTTTGCTCAGCTACTCCATTTAAAGTCTCTGTAAGAAGGGACTGCATATTACACATAGGCCATCTCTAATGCACTGAGAACACCCAGCACCCCAGGAAGCCCACTGAGACAGGCTCTACTTTTCAAAGCTCTTGTAGATCAGTCCCCCTGTACCACTGTAATGGAAACCGGTACCGAACCGAATGGAAAATGCTCTGCACCAAGGAGTTCGTAAGCAACCAACTTTATTACACCAGCAGGCTGATGGGGCATCACTCTCAAAGCATCAGCCCAATGCTGGCTTTGAGTTTAGTTTATATAGGGTTTGCAAGCAGGAGATCCTAAAGCTTGAAAGTGTGGTGAATTTCTATTGGGTAGGGTCGGCTATCTCTCATGGCTAGGCAGAAAGTCCTTGAAGTAAGTGAGTAATAGTGTCAGTCATGTCTCCTTGCTAGAAAGTACAAGGTATGTAGCTAACTGCAGTCAGACTGAGCTGGCTCAGGCTATCGCTAGTATAGTCACTCAAGGCTCAGTGAGTCCAACAGACGAGCTACATGGTAGGATGCATGATCTTATTTTGTCCTCATATGGTGTCAGAGGAGTAGTTGATTTTCAAATTTTTCTTCACACCACCACCCTGTAAATAATTCTATTCACTCTTCTATTGCTGTGGTCCCATTGTAAGGCACTTTAAACTTATGGTGGTAAGGATAGCTGCATTTTCCTTTACTTTTTACAGCATTTATCACCCTGTGTTTCAGATAACCTGTCTGTTGATTTTCTGTCTTGGTTCCTCTTCTCTCATTGCTGAGACAAAATACCTGATGTCCAAAATTAAGGAACTGTTTATTTAGTTTACAGTTTGGAAGTTTTAGTTACTAATCAGCTGGCTCCAAGGCAGGGTGGCGTGGTGAGGGGCAACAATTCAAGGAGGGAGAAGACAGCAAACTAATAACAGCCAAAATGGGGAGAACAAGCCTCTTTTCCTCCCTTATACTGTGTGTAACCTCCATACCATCTCTGTGTCCTGGTCTTGCACAGGCTGAGGATGTTTACAAAATGAGGACCCTGGCCCCCTGCTGAGTGCCTTAGTTACACTTCTAAAGTTCTCCAGTTGACACAATGAATCAACCATTGCAATGTCCGAAGGATTGGGCTTGGAATCTATCTTGCACACAGTGCAGATGTGGAAGACCTGCATTTTCCCTACTCCTTAGCAAGAAGGATTCTTCTGCTGGCAAGGGAGCAGATAGGACTGAGCAGACTTGATAGGAGCAAGCTACATATGTGTATGTAGTCTTGTGCATAGTATATAGTGTTCTATTACTGTTCCCAAACCATGTACTGTTCTAAAATCACTTTCACATTTCCTTTGGTTAAGGACAATCCTAGGACCTAAAAGGAAAGCTAGGAAACAAGGCCAACAGGTGATATCTTTGGCAGGAAAAAAGCCAAACAGTTACTTCCCAGCTACTAAAGTGGGTTCCTGACCATGTGTCTCAGTTACTTTTTTCTCACTCCTGGGACAAAATACCTAAAGCCCAAAATTAAGGAAGGAAAGGTTTATTTCACTTACAGTTCGTGGAAGTTTCAATCTGTACTTGGCAGATTATAAGGCAGAGTGGCACATGGTGGAGGGCTGCATCTCAGGGCGGCAGCACACAGCTAAGCCGCAAGCACCCACCAGGGCCGAATGGGGGAGGAAAGTCCCAAGCACTCTTTTCCTCTCCCTTACATATGCAAACTATCCACCCAGGGCTGGTGCAGCTCTCACACCCATATTCAAACTCTAAAAGCCTGCCCCATGGTCGCATGAGGCTTTGGAGGGGACACACAGACATAAACCATAACACCATGTCCTTAAGAAGAGCTGATGGAAAGGCCTTACTGGTTGGTGGGCTTCTGAGAGCTGTGTGAAGGGGAAGCAACTTGCTCAGCAGGGACTGATGTCTCCTCTGATTCCTTTGCAGTGAAGAAAACTACCCCAGAGACAGAGACATTCCCTGGGTGGCAAGCCCCAAGCCAGGCACCATATGTGCCACAGCCTTTGGAATTCCTTGAGTCCTGCAGTAGCAGAAGTACTCACTTTCTAGAGAACATTTCAATAGCTGAGATTGAGAATGTATCACAGAGAGCTTCATTGCAGATTTCCATTCACCTCTTGGCCTTGGATACAAACCAAGAACAACCGGAGAACTATGATGGAATGAGAAGCAAGCTTTCAATGTCTCTGGATTCCCACCAGATTATCATGGAAAACCTCGGATAGCTTCTACTCTCCTTAGCTATCCCGGACCCCTTGGAGATTTGTCCTGCCTTGAGCCTCCAAGCCAAGAAAAGCCTGGTTCTGAAGAAGTCTTCTGGGGAGAGTGCTTCCCTAGTTTCCAGGACTGAGAGAATCTCACCAAACGAATTAACTCTAGCCTAGAGGAGTCAGACGTTGCAGCCCTCATTGAGGGCATTCGACTTCCACACATATTTAATTCCTTTGACAGTCTTGACCAGTTCCAGCATCCAGTAGCCATCAAAACCCAAGACACTGGAGTCATCGAGGTGAATCAGGTTCAGGAGAACTCAAGGGTCACTAAAGGTTCCTTGCCTCCATTGAGGAAGAACAAACAGAAATCCTCCTGGCCAATCACTGGAGCTCCTGAGGCTGAAATCTAGCTGAAGGACCCTGAGAGCCTGTTAAGGGGAGAAGAGCTCATTCTCAGTGCAGAGGCCATTGACAGGGCTCATATGAACACAGCTGAGCTGAGCAACAGCAAGACCACTGGGAACACATCCAGCAGGATCACTCAAACGGAGGACTGTGGGCAAACTAGGAACAAGAGAAACAGAGGAAAAAAAGCAAGAAAATGACAGAGAGGAAGCAGCTGGGGCCCAAACTCATGGGTGAAGAAAAGCCAAGCATTCCCAACTTGAAGCTCAAGACACACCGACCCGCACTTGGCCAAGAGGCCTTCAAAATGCCTCCCACCTTCCTAGGCAAGCACATGCTGGAGTCTGAGCAGGTTTTTCACCCCCTAGGGAATAAGACTGAGAAGAGAGCTGGGAACTTTTTATATGGGGCTCAGAGAACACCAACCAGCAGCAAAGACTCCAAGTCATTGCCAGCAACCAAACCATGGCAGGAAGCCCCACGGAAGAGAAAGGGGCCTGAGAGTGCTCCAGAAAGATCCCAGAACCAGCACATCCGTGCTGAAACAGAGGATTCATCTGCATCCCTGTGTGAGCTCCCATCACCTGGGAAGGTGAAGATAATACCTTTGAGCTTTCCAACTCCAGAAAAGTCTCAGGCAAGACCTGTTTCTAGAAGGGCACAGCATCCAGCCTCACGGAGACCCACTGCAGCTTATCCTGCTGCTTACCCTGCTGCTGCTGATGGCAGAGCTCAACCTTCCCAATTAGCAGCTGCCCACACCTCTCTGCTGGGTCCTGGAAAACCAGTTCGGCCAGCCCTGGGAAGTGCCAATCAGCCACGCTGGACCACTTCAAAACAGCCTGGGCTTTCTCAGTGTGCAATATCTAAGCCTGCACCCCAGGACATAGCACCTTCTGCTTCTCTCAGAAGGGGGCTTGTTGCCACTGCAGTGACCAAGCACAAGCCCCTGCCTCAGCCACAACATCCATTTCTCCTCCAAGACTTCAGCCACCAACCCATTCCCTGGAGGGAACCCAACGTGCCTCTGCCCTTCATGTCCCGCCCCATCAGGGCAGAACAGAGGCCAGAGCGCGAAGCCCTGAAGAGGCAGGCTCAGCAAGGGCGCGAGGTGGCCGCGAAATGCACCTCCTTTGGGAAGCTGCAGTTCTTCAGGCAGAGGGAGGAAGACAGGGAAATTGCCCAGTACTACGGGTATGCAAGGTGAGAGCCAGCAGCACTGCCCAGCCACCTTGGCCTCCACGGGATTATCCACATAGATATGTAGAAAAATAGGTAGACATTTGCTGATTCCGACATACTGCTGAAAGTTAGCATTACCACGTCCTGTTTAAGGGAGGAGTACCGCAGAAGTGATAGTAAATAAAACACCCTTTTGCATTCTGAGATGTTGTTTGATGTGAGTTCTTTCATAAAGGTGGGGATCAAATGTTGCATTAGAAAGAAGGAACTGGGAGTAGTATCACAGAACATGGGCGTACAGAATATGAACTGAGGAAGGGGTAACAAATAAGATTTGCATTTAGCAAGGCCACAAAAGAGAGATGGTATGGGCTAGAAGCAGGACTAGGAAGGGGTAAATGGCAGAAGACAGCGAGTCTGGGGTGAGTGTAAAAAAAATAAAAGGAGGACAAGATTCAAGTTTGCAGAAGATCAGTGTGGGCTGACCAGAGGAAAGGCAAAATATCTCTGATGCATAATGGCCTCCTGTTCATGATAAAGCCGACAGGCATTGGAGCAACTGCATTCACATCTCTAACATGCTTGGGTCTCTTAAGAATATAGTTGGGAAAGTTCACTCCCAGACACTGGGGAGATGCTCAGGAGACTGGCTGGTGTCCACAGTAGTCCTGGGTCAGTAGAGACTGTGAAACTTGCTCAAGTGAGCTTTACCAGCACAAGGCCCAGCCAGAACATGGCCTGGAACACAAAGCACCACTTCCACAACCGCCATGCACTAGGACAGCAGAGGTGCATCACTCAATTAACTTTCAAACACCTGGGGTTGGTATTACTGCTCCCCTTTAGAGGCCAGGTTCAGTGACAGGGTAGAGCCCTGCTGTATGCACAGGCAGCAGGGCCTCAGTCTTGGTTGTCTGACTGCCTGAAACCTCTACAGAGTGGGAGAGTTTCTGTTGGTAGAAATCCACCCTGGATTTCACAGTACAGTACACAGAAGGCAAAGGTAGGCAACATCAGACTTGTAAAGGGACAGAACATGAACCCAAGGTGACAGCCAGTTCCTCATCCCAAGACCCAGCACATGCCATCTTCTGGGAGCCTTGGTCATCACAAGCAGGGCATGAGAAGAACCAGCTTTCAGTGTCTGTTTCCATTTCAGGAGAGAAGTGCTCACAGGGACACCCTCGGGCAGCTGTAGGACCCAAGCACCAAACTTCCAGATGTGCTTCTCCAGAGGTTTGGAGCCTTAGGGGCAGTGATGGAAGAGAGGGCTGGTGGGTGGGGTGGGAAGGCTGGGCTGGGAGTTGGTTGGATGGTGGAGGGGGCAGGAAAGAATGGCACGGGGGCAAAGGGGGATGAGCACAGAGGGCCCTCGCCAGGGGAACATTAGTAAGTCATGTTTTAAAAATAAGCCACTTACACAGAGTTCTGCTTACAAAACCCATCACTTGAAAGGACAATCCAGTGGCAGTTAGTCCACTGTGGGATTTGTAGCATATTTCTCATTTCAAGGGGAAACCCTTGTAACCCATGGGTACTCGTAACCACTATGGTCTCTGCACCGTGCCTATCTGCACCTGGCCCTCACATGGAGTCATACAACACATGACATTTTACAAGTGACTTCTTTTGCTCAACAGAGTGTTTCAAGGCTTCTACCATGTAGCAGAGCTGGACAGCCTCTACAACTTCTCATGACTGCATTTCATCTTGTTATATGGGTAAGTCACATTTCTTTCTGCACTCATCCATTAAGTGGTACACACTGGGATGGTTTCCTCTAGTGAGTGACATTTCCTGGTAGCTCACCTGTGTCCTGTAGCAGCAGGCTAAGTTATTCACCCCATTCACAGACTAGCAGCTGGAGGATGTCATGTATTTGCTCAGGTTAAGAGCTAGCAATTTGGGACCTGGGCCTTAAGCTTCATCTTTTAGGCTTCCAAAGCCATAGATTCACACAACAGAAAAGAGTCACCAAGGTGCTAAAGGGTATTCAATGGTAGTGCATGCTTCACACTCCCAGACTTCCCAGGTGCCCACCTTCCTGCTCTCATGGATTCATCTACATTGGCCATCCTTCCAGAAAAATTACAGGTTTGTTCCCCCACATGCACCTTCACAACTGATGGACTGCTCTGTCCCATTTCTAAGTGCCACTTTCCTTACCGGAGTGTTAAATCCCTATGTGCCTTTGCATTAGGTTTTCAGAATGTTCCAGGCCTTGAGGCCTTTCTTATTTGATTTCTCTCTGGCATCCTTTCCACCGACTTCTAAAGCCGTCTTGGAGAACCATGTAGGCATCTCTAAAACTTGACCACCTGGATAAGAGACTCTATCTATAGATTTTCTCACCAGAAGCCAGCTCCACACACTTTCCACTCATTAGGAACCCTACCATGACTCCCTTTATCACAGTCACAACAGAAGGTAGTGAGAGGAGCACTGAGCAGAGAATCAAAAGCAGAGGCAGTGCACATCCAGTTGGTCTGGCTGCAGATGCCCCTACCTTGTGAAGGGACATACAGAATCACTCACCTCAAGGCCCTTTTAATATGCTCCTCTTCAATTTCCTGCAGAAATCTATTAGGCAAGGTTAGTTTGTAATGCTTAGAAAAGAACGACCATCAACAGAAAACCATCCAATCTGTCTTCCAAGGTTGATGTTCTTGAAAATATGAGCAAGTGGTGGTGGAGAAAAATACCTCCAGATTTTTTTCTCCAGGGTAGGAAATTAGTGGTATTTTCTGGACTATGCTGCTTTCTAAAATTTACTGAATTATCTTTTCGATGGATACTCAGGCCATATTTTTTATTTCTTCTCCGCAGAAAGTCAGAAAACTTCACGAGTCTCCTTTGTCTTGCATTCTCACCTCTCCTATCATAGACTAGCAGTGATTTTCTTCCTTTAGAAATATACTTGTCATCGTTTTGCCAGGCCTAGACTCTGTGCTAGCTGTCTGCATGCTGGGGAGGAGGCTACAGTAAGTGTCACACTGGATTCATTTACCTAAGAAGACACAAGTGTCCTTAATGCCTATTAGGTGTGGAAGAGTCAGATGACCTGATGTCTGTTTTAACCAAGCAACCAGAGGCAGCAAATTATGGGTGTGAGAATTGCTATGAAGGTGCACAAGATGGCGTGTTTGCAGTCTGCTCTCTATTTTACCTCTGTGGTGATTGTTGCTCATGATTAAAGTCTGGTTGTGAGAGGATCAACACATTTATGGAAAGGGGATCCAAAATGGAGCTAAGGAGAAGAAGATGATGGAAAGGGGGTGAAAAAAGGAAACAATGTACTATGTACATTTGCCAAGTCCACATTAGGATACCTCATATATTGCAAGCTTGTACTAATAAATGAGTAATGAGTGAGTGAAAGAGGAGGTGACTTGGGCAACTGACAGGAAAATAATCTCTGAATATGAGAATTAAAAACTCAAGGCTTGCCTAAGAAACAAGCCCCACAGTAAAGAGAGTGGAGGAAGGGAGGAGGAGACACAGGTCCATCCGTTGTGGCTCCGCCCATCTCAAGGAACAGGAACTAAGAGAAGAGCCTTGTACAGCATCATTCCCTGTAAGCTGCACCCAGGGACTCCACCCTCTCCAACCAGGTCACACAAACAGCTCTCAGGTGCCTTCGTTTGGGCCTTGAAAGCTCCAATAAGTTCACATTATAATCACATGGGTCATGGTGACTTCAGGAAATCTGTCACTCTAGATAAAGGTCTTTTCCTCTTCCACAGGATTTTAACTATATAATACATATAGTACATAGTTATAGGTAGAATATTTGTTGTTGTCTTGTGAAATATCATATATACAAGGCAAAAAAGTTTACTACAGAAAATTGAAAGACACCCTGAGGCACTCTCCACAATATGAGAATGCAGAAGCAAGTGGGCCACTCACGTCTGTCCCATGGGACATCACCACCCCAGAGCTCACTTGATCTTTTAGGTACTATTCTGAGGCTACTGTAGTCTCCCCACCCAATCCCATCTTCTGGTTGGGAATCTAACCTCCCTAATGGGTACTTTGGATCTTTCAACTGCCTTCTTTGTGACATTACTCTTCAAGTACTCTGCCAAGACTCTTCATCACTGACACAGTCTCCCTACATTAGTATTTCCACTTCCACTGTGTTGTCCTTTAAAGTGGACTATTCACATGTTACAGAGACTTCTGTCTGAACTGGGTGAAAATACAAACAGGGGCATGCCATGGTTGAGGACCAAGCTGTACCCAGGCAGATACTCTGATACTCAAGGAGAAGGACAGTTGGGAGGGTTTCCATGAAGCCCTGGCCAAAAGAAACTGCCCGGATCAGTGGGAGAGGGGGGAGAAGAAAACATACAAAACAAGGGTGGAGAAAATAATAAAATTTAAAGAGATGCAGGGCAAGGAGTTGTTGTCTAGAAAATAAAGCCACAGTCGGAGATGGAATCGTGAAAGATTTCAAATGACTGGAGAAAGAACATACAGTGAAGTCTCAGATAAAGGCACAAAGGTGGTTTTGGAAAATGTTGCTGTTAATAGTGTCAGAAGGAAGCTAAGGCTTGAGTGGGATCTCCTTCGGAGAAAGGGCCTTAAATGTCACACTGTGGTGGTCAGTTGGTTTTTGCTGCTTTCAACCCAGATGCCACTTGATAGTTTGTGATTATGAACACTTTAGAAGTTTAGAATGTTTCATACATGATTCTCTCCAAGTACTGTACACACTGAAACATCATCAGAGGACTCAGGAACCAATTTTCAGTATTCTATCTCAGGTTGCTTTTTAAATTAAGTGAAATGTTTACAATGATGTGTCTCACCCCTTGTGCACAAGAACCACTGCCTATGAGTGCTCAGTAAGTTTCAAGTGAAAACTGTTTGTCATCTTCCTGACACTCTTCTTCCAGTGCATATTAGGCATCAGCATCTTTGTTAACATACACACTCAGGGATCATTTGACATCTGAGAGTCAAAAGAAATACATACCCACATGTACAAAGAAAGCATGCAGCCCACATCTCTCATTCCAT